GCATCTTTCATCAATAGTTTCCTTTCTGGATCAAGCGTTAGCCAGTATGACCATCAAAGGCTGTACTACTTCACCAACTCAGAATTTCTACTATACAGGTCCCCTGCCTGTAGATCCTATCAAGATTTATTCATGTAACGTTATGTCTCGCCAAACGCCTCGTTATACTTCTAATATCCAGATAATATTAGTGCAACATGATTTACAGGGTTACAACCCCAGAAACAGACAGGGTTTACTGTAAGTTAAGTACAAAGGTCCAGGTAATTATTCAAATTCATCAACAGTGGGATTTGAACCCAGACCTCTTGTATGGCAGTCTGGCAACCTAACTACTACACTAAGATCACCAGACTGAAAATTCTAAGTTTCAAAAATTATGATAAAACAAAATTGAAATAAAAATTGAAATTAAAGTATTTCTAATCGAGTAAAAGAAATATTTAAAGTTGTAAAAGATAATAAAATATGATTACTATTACTTAAATAAATAATAATATCGAATAAAATAAAAGAATAAAAAGATATCAGATGTTGTAACTTAAGGGCTATCCTCTGTACTTATCAGCTAGGCATGGCATGCCTTAAGATAGAATTGAACTCTTGACTTAGAGATTGACTAGGTATATATATCCAAACCATTATTCTACAACTGCTTAATATCTAAAATTTTTTACAGACCCTTTTTAGGTAACAAGAATTTGCTAACAATTATCTAATAAAATAATTTAAAATTTAGTCATGTGAAATTAAAATTTAAAAATATATAAAGTTTTCAGATAAGATCAATAAAATTAAACTTTAAAAAAAATTTTAAAATTTTAAAATTTTAAAGAATAATAATAATAATAAACAAAATGACTCATTACTTCAATAACTAACAATGAAGGTTCTCTGCTCATTGCCTAAGAGAAAACTCAAGTAATCTTCTTTTTGAAGCTTTAGATGTAGTCCAAACAGAAAATAAAAAATATTTATTGATAATATATTATAAGAATATTTTTATAGTGCTATAGCATCATGGCACTACTCTATATGTAATCATAAGATCAGATATAACCTAAAATCAAAACATCTATTTTATTTATTACTTTAGAGTCAGAGTCATAGTTAGATTAGGGTTAGGGTTAGAGCAGTAGCGTGAAAAGGTTTTATATCAAAATTTAACAAGGAATTTTTTTAATTAGAATACCAAAAGCAGTTTTATATACAAAATTTTAAGTTATTTTCTGTTTTTTAAAAATTGCATCAATTTTACATTACACCTGATCTTTTATTTTGATTGGCTATATTGCCCTAGTGCTATGGTGCTATAGCGCTACAAATTAAATTCCATATTAAAATACTAATAAATATAACTAATAAAAATATAATATAAATTATACTAAAATCTATCCTATAACACTATAAAACCTTAGAAGATTACTACTATAATAACTTCTGTAATAACAAATTAATAAAATCTAATTAACCAAGAAGACAACCTTAATAATTTCACTCTTTTCTGTAACACCAAACCCACATGTTTAATTATTTGTTTTGATTTTCGGACTGATCCGGATTTATTTAATTTCACGATTTTGATTGGTTAAAGGTAACAGGTGACTATCGGGTAATATCGTGATGTGTTGGCCTTTGGAAGAATCGTGAAATATTTCTTTTATATTACTGTATTATCTTGATATTTTATTATGCAAATCGACTTTCATTTATAATTGAAAAATGTCAATCATGTCAAAATTTATATGAATCTAATAAATACTCATTTTTCGAAAAAAATGTAAAAATAGTCCCTTTTTATACGAGACACCCCATATAAGCCAAATTTTGAAAATCTGATCAGTAACTTTGTTCTTTATAATAAGTTCTATATACAAGTCGATGCGTTTTAAACAAAATCTTATATAAATCTATATGTAAAATATTAATATTTCAAATTGAAATAACTTTTTACATAGATTTTCAAAAAACCGTAGAACTTATATAACTCTATAAAGTTATCAATTAGTTTTTTTTTTTTTTTTTAAATTCTTGTGTAAAAAAAAAAATCAGTCTAATAATTAATTACTTTGGTACATTTCATTTTCAGACATTCGTTAACAGACAGACGAATGTTCCTATTATCTTCTAAATAAAATTGGTATATATTATTTGTGAAATAAATGAAATAACTGTGTATTAAATGAAAAACATCCATTATTTTATCTTTTCTTTCATTTTTTGAACTCAAACCTTAATACGAACCAGGTGCATTACAGTTCAATGGTGCATAATATGTAGTTGAAAAGGTTTGATTAATATCAAATCTGCACGCACTCCGTTTCTTTGCCTTTGTAGCATAATTTGAGCGTCAAATATATTTTTTTCTAGTTCTTGAATCAGATCCGGGGATATATTTACTACTTCTGATAATCCCAAAATATAATACCTGGTTTTTTACACAGTACCCACGGGTGCTAATCAATTTAAAAATGGAATTCGTGAATAAGATCCTAGGTCAGTAAACAATGACAATGATATTTTGATTCAGTTTTCAATCGTATAAATAAAAAATTAAAGTTCCTTTTTCTAATAAAATTCCGAATTGCTTTGTAAAAATATTTCTTTTTTGATTCTTCACTTTTTATTCAATCTCTATTGCGAGATTTTCTATGCTCTAAACAATATATTTTATAAAAGGACCTAAAGCCCATTATTGTATATTAATGATTTGTTCACTATATATACTCTAACACTGCAGATAGTACAGGAAAAATAATTTGAATTATAATTTCTAGGCTTCCTCTTTAATTTGAGCCGATCCAATAATATTATCATCTAAAGAAATTTGTAATCTTAAATCAACGATTCCATGGGTCCCTTTAACGCTAAACTTGTTGTCTTCATCACTCTGCAAAATGCTAGTCCCGCCATTATCATTAATGCTCCATCCTTCAATTTCATTGCTTTTAATGAATCCTTCAGTTAACTCATAAAAAATCATTCCAAGAATGTCTGAAACAATCCAAAATCTATAAAGCTTGATATCTTTATTGGGCATCCCACTTGTTAATTGACCGCTAACATGAACTTTTGTAGGTGTAGTTTGAGTAAAGTTGAATTGACCTGCTAGACTTTGGGCAGGATCACCATCTTTGGGTATGAAAATTGCAGTAGCGGTATCCATTTTTTGTGTAGTAGTGGCAGGTAAATTTATAAGCAAGGAAAATATTAATCGAAGAGAAAATAATAACCAATATATTTTATTTGATAACTTCATTTAAATACGACGTTATATGTTTTAGTTGTACAAAATTAGAATAAAGATAGAAAAAACTCAGCCCTCTATCGCTATTTTTTATTGCCGACAATCGCATCATGTGAACTTTATCTGTCGGGAACTAATTTAGCCATTTACGGGACGGTCTACCGACACAGCATTCACATGATTTATCTTCCTATCGGTACAGCAACCAGTCCCTATTTTTAAAATAAGGGAATTGATATTCGTATCCCCAAATTTTAGGGATGTTAAGTGGTCCGAAAGGAACTAGTTCGGTGCTGGTCCTGAACCAGGACCACTAAGAACCGGTCCAAACTAGTTAAAAATTACTTGATATAAATGGGTGTCATTTTTGACACATTAAATAAAATTTAATTAAAAATAAATCAAGAAAAATATTTTTAT